TTAATTTATTTCCCTGGTTCATTTGTGGACCGCAATCATGATCCCGGTTCGAAGAACCATAAATGTGTGCGGAAATGCTTACCATTGGGCATTTATTTATTGTATTTATTATTAATTGTTCATTAAATTAAATAGATTTTATTCAAAATGAACTGTATGGTTTTAATGTATATACCGCCGATACATTTCCCCTCACACACTGGGGGGGGGGGGAAGGGAGATATAACTATTATATTTGGTTATACCGTAATTAAAATGGTTAACATATTATTAATTTCACTAAACCATAATTAAATGGTAAGTGGCTTAAATTTTTAGTAATGATTAGTATAACTAGATATAGCCAGCTTATCTGACTAGATGGCTTCGACAGTCAACATGGAACAGGTGTGGTACACGTGAGCAGGACCTGGTGGGTTAATGGCGTCTCTCTGGTGACGCCTGATGACCTGATACACCAGCTGGCCCAGGTGGTGGTGGTGGACCTGGGACACCAGCTGGCCCAGGTGGTGGTGGTGGACCTGGTACACCAGCTGGCCCAGGTGGTGGTGGTGGACCTGGGACACCAGCTGGCCCAGGTGGTGGTGGTGGACCTGGTACACCAGCTGGCCCAGGTGGTGGTGGTGGACCTGGTACACCAGCTGGCCCAGGTGGTGGTGGTGGACCTGGGACACCAGCTGGCCCAGGTGGTGGTGGTGGACCTGGGACACCAGCTGGCCCAGGTGGTGGTGGTGGACCTGGGACACCAGCTGGCCCAGGTGGTGGTGGTGGACCTGGTACACCAGCTGGCCCAGGTGGTGGTAGACCTGGTACACCAGCTGGCCCAGGTGGTGGTGGTGGTGGACCCGGTACACCAGCTGGCCCAGGTGGTGGTGGACCTGGTACACCAGCTGGCCCAGGTGGTGGTGGACCTGGTACACCAGCTGGCCCGGGTGGTGGTGGACCTGGTACACCAGCTGGCCCGGGTGGTGGTGGACCTGGTACACCTGCTGGCCCAGGTGGTGGTGGACCTGGTACACCAACTGGCCCAGGTGGTGGTGGACCTGGTACACCAGCTGGCCCAGGTGGTGGTGGTGAACCTGGTACACCAGCTGGCCCAGGTGGTGGTGGTGGACCTGGTACACCAGCCGGCCCAGGTGGTGGTGGTGGACCTGGTACACCAGCCGGCCCAGGTGGTGGTGGTGGACCTGGTACACCAGCCGGCCCAGGTGGTGGTGGTGGACCTGGTACACCAGCCGGCCCAGGTGGTGGTGGTGGACCTGGTACACCAGCTGGCCCAGGTGGTGGTGGTGGACCTGGTACACCAGCCGGCCCAGGTGGTGGTGGTGGGCCTGGTACACCAGCTGGCCCGGGTGGTGGTGGACCTGGTGCACCTGCTGGCCCGGGTGGTGGTGGACCTGGTACACCAGCTGGCCCGGGTGGTGGTGGACCTGGTACACCAGCTGGCCCAGGTGGTGGTGGTGGACCTGGTATACAGCTGGCCCAGGTGGTGGTGGTGGTGGACCTGGTACACCTGCTGGCCCAGGTGGTGGTGGTGGACCTGGTACACCAGCTGGCCCAAGTGGTGGTAGTGGACCTGGTACACCAGCTGGCCCTGGTGGTGGTGGTGGTGGTGGACCTGGTACACCAGCTGGCCCGGGTGGTGGTGCTGGTGGACCTGGTACACAGCTGGCCCAGGTGGTGGCAGGAGACAGAGTGAAGGTGATCACCTCAAGATGGGACCACTAGTCTTGAGAGCCCAAGGCCCACCTGGGACACACTGGGCGCCTTAAGGTTCCCTTAATGACGTCCCACTGAGAAAATGACTTTTGTAGTAATATATCAGGTGTAACTGACGCTGCTCCCAGGTGTAGCTGACGCTGCTCCAGGTGTAGCTGACGCTGCTCCAGGTGTAACTGACGCTGCTCCCAGGTGTAGCTGACGCTGCTCCAGGTGTAGCTGACGCTGCTCCAGGTGTAACTGACGCTGCTCCCAGGTGTAGCTGACGCTGCTCCAGGTGTAGCTGACGCTGCTCCTGGTGTAGCTGACGCTGCTCCAGGTGTAACTGACGCTGCTCCCAGGTGTAGCTGACGCTGCTCCAGGTGTAGCTGACGCTGCTCCAGGTGTAACTGACGCTGCTCCCAGGTGTAGCTGACGCTGCTCCAGGTGTAGCTGACGCTGCTCCAGGTGTAACTGACGCTGCTCCCAGGTGTAGCTGACGCTGCTCCAGGTGTAGCTGACGCTGCTCCTGGTGTAGCTGACACTGCTGCAGGTGTAGCTGACTCCGCTCCAGGTGTAGCTGACGCTGCTCCAGGTGTAGCTGACTCCGCTCCAGGTGTAGCTGACGCTGCTCCAGGTGTAGCTGACGCTGCTCCAGGTGTAGCTGACGCTGCTCCAAGTGTAGCTGACTCCGCTCCAGGTGTAGCTACGCTGCTCCAGGTGTAGCTGACGCTGCTGCAGGTGTAGCTGACGCCGCTCCAGGGGTAGCTGACGCTGCTCCAGGTGTAGCTGACTCCGCTCCAGGTGTAGCTGACGCTGCTGCAGGTATAGCTGACGCCGCTCCAGGTGTAGCTGACGCTGCTCCAGGTGTAGCTGACGCTGCTCCAGGTGTAGCTGACGCTGCTCCAGGTGTAGCTGACGCTTCTCCAGGTGTAGCTGACGCTGCTCCAGGTGTAGCTGACGCTGCTCCAGGTGTAGCTGACGCTGCTCCAGGTGTAGCTGACGCTGCTCCAGGTGTAGCTGACTCCGCTCCAGGTGTAGCTGACGCTGCTCCAGGTGTAGCTGACGCTGCTCCAGGTGTAGCTGACGCTGCTCCAGGTGTAGCTGACGCTGCTCCAGGTGTAGCTGACTCCACTCCAGGTGTGACTGACGCTGCTCCAGGTGTAGCTGACGCTGCTCCAGGTGTAGCTGACGCTGCTCCAGGTGTAGCTGACGCTGCTCCAGGTGTAGCTGACGCTGCTCCAGGTGTAGCTGACGCTGCTCCGGGTGTAGCTGACGCCGCTCCGGGTGTAGCTGACGCCGCTCCGGGTGTAGCTGACGCTGCTCCGGGTGTAGCTGACGCTGCTCCGGGTGTAGCTGACGCCGCTCCGGGTGTAGCTGACGCTGCTGCAGGTGTAGCTGACGCTGCTGCAGGTGTAGCTGACGCTGCTCCAGGTGTAGCTGACGCCGCTCCAGGTGTAGCTGACGCCGCTCCAGGTGTAGCTGACGCCGCTCCGGGTGTAGCTGACGCCGCTCCGGGTGTAGCTGACGCTGCTCCGGTTATAGCTGACGCCGCTCCGGGTGTAGCTGACGCCGCTCCGGGTGTAGCTGACACTGCTACAGGTGTAGCTGACGCTGCTGCAGGTGTAGCTGACGCTGCTCCAGGTGTAGCTGACGCCGCTCCAGGTGTAGCTGACGCTGTTCCAGGTGTAGCTGACGCTGCTCCAGGTGTAGCTGACGCTGCTCCAGGTGTAGCTGACGCTGCTCCAGGTGTAGCTGACGCTGCTCCAGTTGTAGCTGACGCCGCTCCAGGTGTAGCTGACGCTGTTCCAGGTGTAGCTGACGCCGCTCCGGGTGTAGGTGGCTCCGGGATCCCATCACAATGGTTGTACTCTTCAAGTCACTTGTGTTGTCCCGTCTTGAGTACTGCTCAGTACTCACTTCCCCCTTCAGAGCAGGAGAGATTGCTGAAATAGAGGGAATACAGAGAACATATACGGCACGCATAGATGCAATAAAGCACCTAAATTATTGGGATCGTCTCAAAGCCCTCCAAATGTACTCACTAGAAAGAAGACGAGAGAGATATCAAATAATATACACCTGGAAGATACTGGAGGGCCAAGTACCAAATCTACACAGTAAAATAGCAACGTACTGGAGTGAACGACATGGAAGAAAATGTAGAATAGAACCAATGAAGAGCAGAGGTGCCATAGGCACAATCAGAGAACACTGTATAAACATCAGAGGTCTGCGGTTGTTCAACGTCCTCCCAGCAAGCATAAGAAATATTGCCGGAACAACCGTGGACATTTTCAAGAGGAAACTAGATTTATTCCTCCAAGGAGTGCCGGACCAACCGGGCTGTGGTGGGTATGTGGGCCTGCGGGCCGCTCCAAGCAACAGCCTGGTGGACCAAACTCTCACAAGTCGAGCCTGGCCTCGGGCCGGGCTTGGGGAGTAGAAGAACTCCCAGAACCCCATCAACCAGGTATCCGGGTGTAGGACGCCGCTCCGGGTGTAGCTGACGCCGCTTCGGGTGTAGCTGACGCCGCTCCAGGTGTAGCTGACGCCGCTCCGGGTGTAGCTGACGCCGCTCCAGGTGTAGCTGACGCCGCTCCAGGTGTAGCTGACGCTGTTCCAGGTGTAGCTGACGCTGCTCCGGGTGTAGCTGACGCTGCTCCAGGTGTAGCTGACTCTGCTTCAGGTGTAGCTGACGCTGCTGCAGGTGTAGCTGACGCCGCTCCATGTGTAGCTGACGCCGCTCCATGTGTAGCTGACGCTGCTGCAGGTGTAGCTGACGCTGCTCCAGGTGTAGCTGACGCTGCTGCAGGTGTAGCTGACGCCGCTCCATGTGTAGCTGACGCCGCTCCATGTGTAGCTGACGCCGCTCCATGTGTAGCTGACGCTGCTGCAGGTGTAGCTGACGCCGCTCCAGGTGAAGGGCGTGAATGATAAATATAAAGCAAAAACACAAATAAATAAACATATAGAGAAATACATGCTGGTGTATACATACATGCAAGATGTATATGATTCAGCGCCATGTATCTTGTCGCTATACATAGCGCAGTGGTTGCCATCCGGACCATGTTGGGAAGCCTCTCTTACGGGCGAGAGTGAGGACACGGGAGGGAGAGGAATAAAGGAATAAAGAGTGAAAACAAAAGAGCTACACGAGAGAGGAACGTGCGAGGGGTTACAAGTGCGTTTGTTTACGCATCATGACACAGTAGAGTGGGGGGGGGGGTCTCCGGCTGGAACATTCACTCCTGTTGTATGGAGGACGATCATTGTCTCTTGTGGACGGTAGGAGGGCGCTAATAGACGGCAGGAGGCTCATGTGGACGGTAGGAGGCTCTTGTGGACGGTAGGAGGTCTCTTGTGGACGGTAGGAGGCTCTTGTGGACGGTAGGAGGTCTCTTGTGGACGGTAGATCTCTTGTGGACGGTAGGAGATCTCTTGTGGACGGCAGGAGGTCTCTTGTGGACGGCAGGAGGCTCTTGTGGACGGTAGGAGGTCTCTTGTCTCTTGTGGACGGTAGGAGGTCTCTTGTGGACGGTAGGAGGTCTCTTGTGGACGGTAGGAGGTCTCTTGTGGACGGTAGGAGGTCTCTTGTGGACGGCAGGAGGCTCTTGTGGACGGCAGGAGGCTCTTGTGGACGGTAGGAGGGCGCTAATAGACGGCAGGAGGCTCTTGTGGACGGTAGGAGGCTCTTGTGGACGGTAGGAGGTCTCTTGTGGACGGTAGGAGGTCTCTTGTGGACGGTAGGAGGCTCTTGTGGACGGTAGGTCTCTTGTGGACGGTAGGAGGCTCTTGTGGACGGTAGGAGGTCTCTTGTGGACGGTAGGAGGTCTCTTGTGGACGGCAGGAGGTCTCTTGTGGACGGCAGGAGGCTCTTGTGGACGGTAGGAGGCTCTTGTGGACGGTAGGAGGCTCTTGTGGACGGTAGGAGGTCTCTTGTGGACGGCAGGAGGTCTCTTGTGGACGGCTCTTGTGGAGGAGGTCTCTTGTGGACGGTAGGAGGCTCTTGTGGACGGTAGGAGGTCTCTTGTGGACGGCAGGAGGCTCTTGTGGACGGTAGGAGGTCTCTTGTGGACGGCAGGAGGCTCTTGTGGACGGTAGGAGGTCTCTTGTGGACGGTAGGAGTCTCTTGTGGACGGCAGGAGGCTCTTGTGGACGGTAGGAGGTCTCTTGTGGACGGCAGGAGGCTCTTGTGGACGGTAGGAGGCTCTTGTGGACGGTCTCTTGTGGACGGCAGGAGGTCTCTTGTGGACGGCAGGAGGTCTCTTGTGGACGGCAGGAGGTCTCTTGTGGACGGCAGGAGGTCTCTTGTGGACGGCAGGAGGCTCTTGTGGACGGTGAGGCTCTTGTGGACAGGAGGCTCTTGTGGACGGTAGGAGGCTCTTGTGGACGGCAGGAGGTCTCTTGTGGACGGCAGGAGGTCTCTTGTGGACGGCAGGAGGTCTCTTGTGGACGGCAGGAGGTCTCTTGTGGACGGCAGGAGGTCTCTTGTGGACGGTAGGAGGTCTCTTGTGGACGGTAGGAGGTCTCTTGTGGACGGTAGGAGGCTCTTGTGGACGGTAGGAGGTCTCTTGTGGACGGCAGGAGGTCTCTTGTGGACGGTAGGAGGTCTCTTGTGGACGGTAGGAGGTCTCTTGTGGACGGCAGGAGGTCTCTTGTGGACGGCAGGAGGCTCTTGTGGACGGTAGGAGGTCTCTTGTGGACGGTAGGAGGTCTCTTGTGGACGGTAGGAGGTCTCTTGTGGACGGCAGGAGGTCTCTTGTGGACGGTAGGAGGTCTCTTGTGGACGGCAGGAGGCTCTTGTGGACGGCAGGAGGTCTCTTGTGGACGGCAGGAGGTCTCTTGTGGACGGTAGGAGGTCTCTTGTGGACGGCAGGAGGTCTCTTGTGGACGGCAGGAGGTCTCTTGTGGACGGCAGGAGGTCTCTTGTGGACGGCAGGAGGCTCTTGTGGACGGTAGGAGGTCTCTTGTGGACGGTAGGAGGTCTCTTGTGGACGGCAGGAGGCTCTTGTGGACGGTAGGAGGTCTCTTGTGGACGGTAGGTCTCTTGTGGACGGCAGGAGGTCTCTTGTGGACGGTAGGAGGTCTCTTGTGGACGGCAGGAGGCTCTTGTGGACGGTAGGAGGTCTCTTGTGGACGGTAGGAGGCTCTTGTGGACGGCAGGAGGCTCTTGTGGACGGTAGGAGGTCTCTTGTGGACGGTAGGAGGTCTCTTGTGGACGGCAGGAGGCTCTTGTGGACGGTAGGAGGTCTCTTGTGGACGGCAGGAGGCTCTTGTGGACGGCAGGACTCTTGTGGACGGCAGGAGGTCTCTTGTGGACGGCAGGAGGCTCTTGTGGACGGCAGGAGGCTCTTGTGGACGGCAGGAGGTCTCTTGTGGACGGTAGGAGGTCTCTTGTGGACGGTAGGAGGTCTCTTGTGGACGGTAGGAGGCTCTTGTGGACGGCAGGAGGCTCTTGTGGACGGCAGGAGGCTCTTGTGGACGGCAGGAGGCTCTTGTGGACGGCAGGAGGCTCTTGTGGACGGCAGGAGGCTCTTGTGGACGGCAGGAGGCTCTTGTGGACGGCAGGAGGCTCTTGTGGACGGCAGGAGGCTCTTGTGGACGGCAGGAGATCTCTTGTGGACGGTAGGAGGCTCTTGTGGACGGCAGGAGGCTCTTGTGGACGGCAGGAGGTCTCTTGTGGACGGTAGGAGGTCTCTTGTGGACGGTAGGAGGCTCTTGTGGACGGCAGGAGGCTCTTGTGGACGGCAGGAGGCTCTTGTGGACGGCAGGAGGCTCTTGTGGACGGCAGGAGGCTCTTGTGGACAGGAGATCTCTTGTGGACGGAGGTCTCTTGTGGACGGTGGACGGCAGGAGGCTCTTGTGGACGGCAGGAGGAGGCAGGAGATCTCTTGTGGACGGTAGGAGGTCTCTTGTGGACGGCAGGAGGCTCTTGTGGACGGCAGGAGGTCTCTTGTGGACGGCAGGAGGGTGGACGGCAGGAGGCTCTTGTGGACGGCAGGAGATCTCTTGTGGACAGGAGGCTCTTGTGGACGGCAGGAGGCTCTTGTGGACGGCAGGAGATCTCTTGTGGACGGTAGGAGGTCTCTTGTGGACGGCAGGAGGCTCTTGTGGACGGCAGGAGGTCTCTTGTGGACGGCAGGAGATCTCTTGTGGACGGCAGGAGGCTCTTGTGGACGGCAGGAGGTCTCTTGTGGACGGCAGGAGATCTCTTGTGGACGGCAGGAGGCTCTTGTGGACGGCAGGAGGCTCTTGTGGACGGCAGGAGGTCTCTTGTGGACGGCAGGAGGTCTCTTGTGGACGGTAGGAGATCTCTTGTGGACGGCAGGAGGCTCTTGTGGACGGAGGAGGTCTCTTGTGGACGGTAGGAGGTCTCTTGTGGACGGTAGGAGGCTCTTGTGGACGGCAGGAGGTCTCTTGTGGACGGTAGGAGGTCTCTTGTGGACGGCAGGAGGCTCTTGTGGACGGTAGGAGGTCTCTTGTGGACGGCAGGAGGTTTCTTGTGGACGGTAGGAGGTCTCTTGTGGACGGCAGGAGGCTCTTGTGGACGGCAGGAGATCTCTTGTGGACGGCAGGAGGCTTAAGTGGACGGCAGGAGATCTCTTGTGGACGGCAGGAGGCTCTTGTGGACGGCAGGAGGCTCTTGTGGACGGCAGGAGATCTCTTGTGGACGGCAGGAGGCTTAAGTGGACGGCAGGAGATCTCTTGTGGACGGCAGGAGATCTCTTGTGGACGGTAGGAGGTCTCTTGTGGACGGCAGGAGGCTTAAGTGGACGGCAGGAGATCTCTTGTGGACGGCAGGAGATCTCTTGTGGACGGCAGGAGGCTCTTGTGGACGGCAGGAGGCTCTTGTGGACGGCAGGAGGCTCACTCTCTCTGTTTTTTTCAGGTCTTTCAGACCGTTTTTTCAAGTCCAAATGTGAAGCAGTTGGGGAGTTAGGAATAATGTAGAAGAGACCGGAATGGCCAAGATAGCGAATTTTCCGACTGGCTGAGAGAGGCGAGGGGGGGGGGTGGGGGCGGGATTTTAAGTGGCTTGGACTGGAAAGGATCTAATTGGCTGGTACTTGGCGGTGCTGGATGAAAGGTGGGGGTGAGGGGGGGGGGGGTGATTGGGGAGGTTGGGGGGTGAGTTAAGTGTCTGGGTGTTGGGGTGAAGAAGGAGACGGCTGTCTGTGATAGCTGGTCTCTGATGGTCGAGGGGCCTTTGTAGTGAAGTGATCGTGGCACTGATAACACTTGTCAACAGGGAAGGAACTGATGCCTCTCATTGTCTGGGTCTTTTGTGCGGCGTCTGTCGTCGCGGCGAGGCGTGGAGCAGGTTGGGAAGTGTTGGGAGGGGGGGGGGGAATTATCGAGGAAAAGCGACAAGCCTCACGACTATATAACATTGGGAAGGGATCAGGATAAGTTTACGGGCTATTCGTGCCCGTGCCACCTCTTTGGTGGCTTAATCTTCATCCATCAATCAATCAATCAATCAAGATAAGGATTTTGGATGGGACGGAGGGAAGGAATGGTACTTAATCACTTGGACGGTCGGGGATTAAACGCTGACCTGCATGAAGCGAGTCAGTTGCTCTACCGTCCAGCCCAAGTGGTTGGGAGTGCAGAATAGCCCACACATGAATAGAGACCGGCACACCAGCTATGGGGCTGGCTGGTTGAGTGGACAGCGCTCTAGTCTCGTGGACCTAGGGACCGAGGTTCGATCCCGGCAGCCGGCAGAAAAACAAATGGGCAGAGTTTCCTTCACCCTGATGCCCCTGTTACCTAGCAGTAAATAGGTACTTGGGAGTTAGACAGCTTCTACAGGCTGCTCCTGGTGTGTGTGTACTCACCTATTTTGCGGGGGTTGAGCTCTGGCTCTTAGGTCCCGCCTCTCAACTGTCAATCAACTGGTGTACAGGTTCCTGAGCCTACTGGGCTCTATCATATCTACACTTGAAACTGTGTATGGAGTCAGCCTCCACCACATCACTGCCTAATGCATTCCACCTGTTAACTACTCTGACACTGAAAAAATGGTTCCCATTGTGTGGGCAAAATGGTGACGTGTGTGTGTGTGTGGGGGGGGGGGGGTGTTAGAGAGAAATATATGTAGTAGATATAATAGAGGAAAACAAAATTGGTTAGAAAGGCTGGAGTCCAATAGCTAATAGCTTGATTCTGCAGATACAAATAGTAAATGTACACACTCATGCGCGCACGCACACACACACACACACACACACACACACACACACACACACACACACACACACACACACACACACACACACACACACACACACACACACACACACACACGCACGCAAGGCTGGCACAGGAAATGCTTCTGTAGCAGGTCCTTATTAACATCTTTATTGACAAAAATTAATTACTACAATCTTACCTCATCTGAGGAATTTAATTAATTGAATTAGTCTCTCGCCACACTTAAGGAGAGACGCGACGAGACACACACACGGCCACCACACTCAACTTCCATTATACAGACGACATGTTCAGTACACGACAGGCCAGAGGAACCAAACTCGATGCCCATGAGACACAACAGGAGACACTATCCCAGCTCGTCCTCCTAAGGTTTCCACCGGTTTAACAACCCTATGGGTGAAAATGGTATCTCCTGTTTTCTGTCGTGAATTGTGGTTTGTTGAGGATGAAACCGTTACTCCTCGTTCCTGTTGAAACCGTTGCTCCACGTTCGTGTTGAACACGTTGCTCCACGTTCGTGTTGCATCTGATCGTTGGAAGAAACTGTCCGGATCGACATCCTCCGAATTGTTTAGTAGTATATACTAGATCCTGCCTTGCAGGAACTTGAATATTTTGTCAACTGCATAATGACATCGCGTGCACAAGAGGCCAACGCGTGCACAAGAGGCCAACGCGTGCACAAGAAGTAAACGCGAACACAAGAGGCCAAGGCGTGCACAAGAGGGAAAATGACACCATCTTCAAACACACTTGTTACCTCACCCTTCCCCACTCCCTCCCTCCCCTGCTTCCCTCCCTCCCTCCCTCCCTCTCTCCCTCGCGCCCTCCCTGCTTCCCGCCCTTTGATGCCCCACTTGTGCAAGGCTTCACCTCGCTTCATCTGCAAGCTTCATCCTCTTCACCTCCAGCTGCCGGTTCCTCGTGGCCGCCTTCCTACTGATGCCAGGATAAGATCTGTGTTCTGTTGGGTCTGTTGGTGGTGGCTGCTGCTGCTGGGTCTGTTGGTGGTGGCTGCTGCTGGGTCTGTTGGTGGTGGCTGCTTCTGGGTCTGTTGGTGGTGGCTGCTGCTGCTGGGTCTGTTGGTGGTGGGCTGCTGCTGCTGCTGGGTCTGTTGGTGGTGGCTGTTGCTGCTGCTGGGTCTGTTGGTGGTGGCTGCTGCTGCTGCTGGGTCTGTTGGTGGTGGCTGCTGCTGCTGCTGGATCTGTTGGTGGTGGCTGCTGCTGCTGGGTCTGTTGGTGGTGGCTGCTGCTGCTGGGTCTGTTGGTGGGGGCTGCTGCTGGGTCTGTTGGTGGTGGCTGCTGCTGCTGGGTCTGTTGGTGGTGGCTGCTGCTGCTGCTGGGTCTGTTGGTGGTGGCTGCTGCTGCTGCTGGGTCTGTTGGTGGTGGGCTGCTGCTGCTGCTGGGTCTGTTGGTGGTGGCTGCTGCTGCTGGGTCTGTTGGTGGTGGCTGCTGCTGCTGCTGCTGGGTCTGTTGGTGGTGGGCTGCTGCTGCTGCTGGGTCTGTTGGTGGGGGCTGCTGCTGCTGCTGGGTCTGTTGGTGGTGGGCTGCTGCTGCTGCTGGGTCTGTTGGTGGTGGCTGCTGCTGCTGCTGGGTCTGTTGGTGGTGGGCTGCTGCTGCTGCTGCTGGTTCTGTTGGTGGTGGCTGCTGCTGCTGCTGGGTCTGTTGGTGGTGGCTGCTGCTAGGTCTGTTGGTGGTGGCTGCTGCTGGGTCTGTTGGTGGTGGCTGCTGCTGCTGGGTCTGTTGGTGGTGGGCTGCTGCTGCTGCTGGGTCTGTTGGTGGTGGCTGCTGCTGCTGGGTCTGTTGGTGGTGGGCTGCTGCTGCTGCTGCTGGGTCTGTTGGTGGTGGTTGCTGCTGCTGGGTCTGTTGGTGGGGGTTGCTGCTGCTGGGTCTGTTGGTGGTGGCTGCTGCTGCTGCTGGGTCTGTTGGTGGGCTGCTGCTGCTGCTGGGTCTGTTGGTGGTGGCTGCTGCTGCTGCTGGGTCTGTTGGTGGTGGGCTGCTGCTGCTGCTGGGTCTGTTGGTGGTGGCTGCTGCTGCTGCTGGGTCTGTTGGTGGTGGCTGCTGCTGCTGCTGGGTCTGTTGGTGGGGGCTGCTGCTGCTGGGTCTGTTGGTGGTGGGCTGCTGCTGCTGCTGGGTCTGTTGGTGGTGGCTGCTGCTGCTGGGTCTGTTGGTGGTGGGCTGCTGCTGCTGGGTCTGTTGGTGGTGGGCTGCTGCTGCTGCTGGGTCTGTTGGTGGTGGCTGCTGCTGGGTCTGTTGGTGGTGGCTGCTGCTGGGTCTGTTGGTGGTGGCTGCTGCTGCTGGGTCTGTTGGTGGTGGGCTGCTGCTGCTGCTGGGTCTGTTGGTGGTGGCTGCTGCTGCTGGGTCTGTTGGTGGTGGGCTGCTGCTGCTGCTGGGTCTGTTGGTGGTGGCTGCTGCTGGGTCTGTTGGTGGTGGGCTGCTGCTGCTGCTGGGTCTGTTGGTGGTGGCGGCTGCTGGGTCTGTTGGTGGTGGCTGCTGCTGCTGGGTCTGTTGGTGGTGGGCTGCTGCTGCTGCTGGGTCTGTTGGTGGTGACTGCTGCTGCTGCTGGGTCTGTTGGTGGTGGGCTGCTGCTGCTGCTGGGTCTGTTGGTGGTGCTGCTGCTGCTGGGTCTGCTGGTGGTGGGCTGCTGCTGCTGCTGGGTCTGTTGGTGGTGGCTGCTGCTGCTGGGTCTGTGGTGGGCTGCTGCTGGGTCTGTTGGTGGTGGTGCTGCTGCTGCTGCTGGGTCTGTTGGTGGTGGGCTGCTGCTGCTGGGTCTGTTGGTGGGCTGCTGCTGCTGCTGGGTCTGTTGGTGGTGGCTGCTGCTGCTGGGTCTGTTGGTGGTGGCTGCTGCTGCTGGGTCTGTTGGTGGTGGGCTGCTGCTGCTGCTGGGTCTGTTGGTGGTGGCTGCTGCTAGGTCTGTTGGTGGTGGCTGCTGCTGCTGGGTCTGTTGGTGGTGGCTGCTGCTGCTGGGTCTGTTGGTGGTGGCTACTGCTGCTGGGTCTGTTGGTGGTGGCTGCTGCTGCTGGGTCTGTTGGTGGTGGGCTGCTGCTGCTGCTGCTGGGTCTGTTGGTGGTGGCTGCTGCTGCTGGGTCTGTTGGTGGTGGGCTGCTGCTGGGTCTGTTGGTGGTGCTGCTGCTGCTGCTGGGTCTGTTGGTGGTGGGCTGCTGCTGCTGGGTCTGTTGGTGGTGGGCTGCTGCTGCTGCTGGGTCTGTTGGTGGTGGCTGCTGCTGCTGGGTCTGTTGGTGGTGGTGGCTGCTGCTGCTGGGTCTGTTGGTGGTGGGCTGCTGCTGCTGCTGGGTCTGTTGGTGGTGGGCTGCTGCTGCTGCTGGGTCTGTTGGTGGTGGGCTGCTGCTGCTGCTGGGTCTGTTGGTGGTGGCTGCTGCTGCTGCTGGGTCTGTTGGTGGTGGGCTGCTGCTGCTGCTGGGTCTGTTGGTGGTGGCTGCTGCTGCTGCTGGGTCTGTTGGTGGTGGGCTGCTGCTGCTGGGTCTGTTGGTGGTGGCTACTGCTGCTGCTGCTGGGTCTGTTGGTGGTGGGCTGCTGCTGCTGCTGGGTCTGTTGGTGGTGGCTGCTGCTGCTGGGTCTGTTGGTGGTGGGCTGCTGCTGCTGCTGGGTCTGTTGGTGGTGGCTGCTGCTGCTGGGTCTGTTGGTGGTGGGCTGCTGCAGCTGCTGGGTCTGTTGGTGGGGGCTGCTGCTGCTGGGTCTGTTGGTGGTGGCTCCTACTGCTGCTGGGTCTGTTGGTGGTGGCTGCTGCTGCTGCTGGGTCTGTTGGTGGGGCTGCTGCTGCTGGGTCTGTTGGTGGGGGCTGCTGCTGCTGGGTCTGTTGGTGGGGGCTGCTGCTGCTGTTGGGTCTGTTCGTGGGGGCTGCTGCTGCTGCTGGGTCTGTTCGTGGGGGCTGCTGCTGCTGCTGGGTCTGTTCGTGGGGGCTGCTGCTGCTGGTAGTGTTGTTGGGGCTGCTGCTACTGGTAGTGTTGTTGGGGCTGCTGCTACTGGTAGTGTTGGTGGGGGCTGCTGCTACTGGTAGTGTTGGTGGGGGCTGCTGCTACTGGTAGTGCTGTTGGGGCTGCTGCTACTGGTAGTGTTGGTGGGGGCTGCTGCTACTGGTAGTGTTGGTGGGGGCTGCTGCTACTGGTAGTGTTGGTGGTGGCTGCTGCTACTGGTAGTGTTGGTGGTGGCTGCTGCTACTGGTAGTGTTGGTGGGGGCTGCTGCTACTGGTAGTGTTGGTGGGGGCTGCTGCTACTGGTAGTGTTGGTGGGGGCTGCTGCTACTGGTAGTGTTGGTGGGGGCTGCTAGTAGTGTTGTTGGGGCTGCTGGTACTGGTAGTGTTGGTGGGGCTGCTGCTGTTGGTAGTGTTATTGGGGCTGCTGGTGCTGGTAGTGTTGTTGGGGCTGCTGCTACTGGTAGTGTTGGTGGGGGCTGCTGGTGCTGGTAGTGTTGTTGGGGCTGCTGCTACTGGTAGTGTTGTTGGGGCTGCTGCTGCTGGTAGTGTTGATGGGGGCTGCTGCTACTGGTAGTGTTGGTGGGGGCTGCTGCTAGTGGTAGTGTTGTTGGGGCTGCTGGTGCTGGTAGTGTTGTTGGGGCTGCTGCTACTGGTAGTGTTGGTGGGGGCTGCTGGTGCTGGTAGTGTTGTTGGGGCTGCTGCTACTGGTAGTGTTGTTGGGGCTGCTGCTACTGGTAGTGTTGTTGGGGCTGCTGCTGCTGGTAGTGTTGGTGGGGGCTGCTGCTACTGGTACTGTTGGTGGGGTTGCTGCTACTGGTAGTGTTGTTGGGGCTGCTGGTACTGGTAGTGTTGTTGGGGCTGCTGCTGCTGGTAGTGTTGTTGGGGCTGCTGCTGCTGGTAGTGTTGGTGGGGGCTGCTGGTGCTGGTAGTGTTGTTGGGGGCTGCTGCTGCTGGTAGTGTTGTTGGGGCTGCTGCTGCTGGTAGTGTTGGTGGGGGCTGCTGCTAGTGGTAGTGTTGGTGGGGTTGCTGCTACTGGTAGTGTTGTTGGGCCTGCTGGTACTGGTAGTGTTGTTGGGGCTGCTGCTGCTGGTAGTGTTGGTGGGGGCTGCTGCTGCTGGTAGTGTTGGTGGGGGCTGCTGCTACTGGTAATGTTGTTGGGGCTGCTGCTGCTGGTAGTGTTGTTGGGGCTGCTGCTACTGGTAGTGTTGTTGGGGCTGCTGCTACTGGTAGTGTTGGTGGGGCCTGCTGGTGCTGGTAGTGTTGGTGGGGCTGCTGCTACTGGTAGTGTTGTTGGGGGCTGCTGGTACTGGTAATGTTGTTGGGGCTGCTGCTACTGGTAGTGTTGGTGGGGGCTGCTGCTACTGGTAGTGTTGGTGGGGGCTGCTGGTACTGGTAGTGTTGTTGGGGGCTGCTGGTACTGGTAGTGTTGTTGGGGGCTGCTGGTACTGGTAGTGTTGTTGGGGGCTGCTGGTACTGGTAGTGTTGTTGGGGGCTGCTGCTACTGGTAGTGTTGGTGGGGGCTGCTGCTACTGGTAGTGTTGGAGGGGGCTGCTGCTACTGGTAGTGTTGGTGGGGGCTGCTGGTTCTGGTAGTGTTGGTGGGGGCTGCTGCTACTGGTACTGTTGTTGGGGCTGCTGCTGTTGGTAGTGTTGGTGGGGGCTGCTGCTACTGGTAGTGTTGGAGGGGGCTGCTGCTACTGGTAGTGTTGGTGGGGGCTGCTGGTACTGGTAGTGTTGGTGGGGCTGCTGCTACTGGTAGTGTTGTTGGGGGCTGCTGCTACTGGTAGTGTTGGTGGGGGCTGCTGCTACTGGTAGTGTTGGAGGGGGCTGCTGCTACTGGTAGTGTTGGTGGGGGCTGCTGGTACTGGTAGTGTTGTTGGGGCTGCTGGTACTGGTAGTGTTGTTGGGGGCTGCTGCTACTGGTAGTGTTGTTGGGGCTGCTGCTACTGGTAGTGTTGTTGGGGCTGCTGCTCCTACCGGTAGTGTTGTTGGGGCTGCTGGTGCTGGTAGTGTTGGTGGGGGCTGCTGCTACAGGTAGTGTTGTTGGGGCTGCTGCTACTGGTAGTGTTGGTGGGGGCTGCTGGTGCTGGTAGTGTTGGTGGGGGCTGCTGCTGTTGGTAGTGTTGGTGGGGGCTGCTGCTACTGGTAGTGTTGTTGGGGCTGCTGGTACTGGTAGTGTTGTTGGGGCTGCTGCTACTGGTAGTGTTGTTGGGGCTGCTGGTGCTGGTAGTGTTGGTGGGGGCTGCTGCTACTGGTAGTGTTGTTGGGGCTGCTGCTACTGGTAGTGTTGGTGGGGGCTGCTGCTGCTGTTGGTAGTGTTGTTGGGGCTGCTGGTGCTGGTAGTGTTGGTGGGGGCTGCTGCTACTGGTAGTGTTGTTGGGGCTGCTGGTGCTGGTAGTGTTGGTGGGGGCTGCTGCTGCTGTTGGTAGTGTTGTTGGGGCTGCTTCTGCTGGTAGTGTTGGTGGGGGCTGCTGCTGCTGTTGGTAGTGTTGTTGGGGCTGCTGCTACTGGTAGTGTTGGTGGGGGCTGCTGCTGTTGGTAGTGTTGTTGGGGCTGCTGCTACTGGTAGTGTTGGTGGGGGCTGCTGCTACTGGTAGTGTTGTTGGGGCTGCTGGTGCTGGTAGTGTTGGTGGGGGCTGCTGCTGCTGTTGGTAGTGTTGTTGGGGCTGCTGCTACTGGTAGTGTTGGTGGGGGCTGCTGCTGCTACTGGTAGTGTTGTTGGGGCTGCTGCTACTGGTTGTGTTGGTGGGGGCTGCTGCTGTTGGTAGTGTTGTTGGGGCTGCTGCTAGTGGTAGTGTTGTTGGGGCTGCTGCTACTGGTAGTGTTGGTGGGGGCTGCTGCTACTGGTGGTGTTGTTGGGGCTGCTGCTACTGGTAGTGTTGTTGGGGCTGCTGCTACTGGTAGTGTTGTTGGGGCTGCTGCTACTGGTAGTGTTGGTGGGGGCTGCTGCTACTGGTAGTGTTGTTGGGGCTGCTGCTACTGGTAGTGTTGGTGGGGGCTGCTGCTGTTGGTAGTGTTGTTGGGGCTGCTGCTAGTGGTAGTGTTGTTGGGGCTGCTGCTAGTGGTAGTGTTGTTGGGGCTGCTGCTAGTGGTAGTGTTGTTGGGGCTGTTGCTACTGGTAGTGTTGGTGGGGGCTGCTGGTAGTGTTGGTGGGGGCTGCTGCTGCTACTGGTGGTGTTGTTGGGTAGTGAGACTTTCCGCAGAAACGACATCGTGGATCATGTTGACAGCTCCAGGATTTATGCCCCCATCTGCAGCATTTCAGGCATATTATGGGCTCTTCCACATACTTTGCTACATGCCTGTAGCCAGCCCCGGTGATGAACACTCTCTCGGGAACTTCACCTCTCACTAGAGCCACCACCTGACTCCTAGCTTCACCTTTAATAAGGTGACGCTTGGCCCACACAAATCGTTGGTCGTCGAGGATGAATTCGGGGTCCAGAATCTGAGGGTATTTATAGATAATTACCTTCGTCAGCTTCTCGTTCTCCTCCGGTATTTACATAACAATTCCTTCATATCCTTGCGGGGTAAGAAACACAACTGCCTCCATAGAACCTACCGTTAAGTAAGGTCTGTTCACACCTTCCTTCAGCAGGGGCTCGAACTTGCGGTGCTCTCTTCCAAGTTTGACTGTCCACAGAAGTTTGTGCACGTAGGCAGGGAAGAGAAGCATCCTCCTCAGCTGACACTCACCTTCCTGACATCGTTCTGTCCTTTCGTCGACACTGGTTTGATCAGTCTCAGAGTCGTTCCTCATTCTCTTGTCGTTTCCGTTAGGTACACTGTCACTGTCAACACTACGCCCCACGTCCTGTCTTCTCCGTTTCTTCTGTCCCCTGGTTACAACTTCTTGAAAATTACTCTCCTCTACTGACTGGCTGCTTTCTGAGTCTGTGTTCATGTGAATATTGCCGTGGGGAGTAGCCAGTTCTTCTGTTAACCGATTCTCCATCTCTGTACCGAGCATGGGGGGGAGATGTGTAGAATGAGATATGTTGCAGAGGTGTTACCCTGACAAAGGGTGCAGGCGAGACGAGAGCAGCGGAACGACGTCCTCACCCGTCGACCGTCTTGTAAACACTGAAGGCAATGTTGTGTCAGCCTTGACACAAGGCAATGTTGGGTCAGCCTTGACACAAGGCTGTGTTGGGTCAGCCTTGACACAAGGCTGTGTTGGGTCAGCCTTGACACTAGGCTGTGTTGGGTCAGCCTTGACACAAGGCAGTGTTGGGTCAGCCTTGACACAAGGCTGTGTTGGGTCAGCCTTGACACAAGGCTGTGTTGGGTCAGCCTTGACACTAGGCTGTGTTGGGTCAGCCTTGACACAAGGCTGTGTTGGGTCAGCCTTGACACTAGGCTGTGTTGGGTCAGCCTTGACACTAGGCTGTGTTGGGTCAGCCTTGACACTAGGCTGTGTTGGGTCAGCCTTGACACAAGGCAGTGTTGGGTCAGCCTTGACACTAGGCTGTGTTGGGTCAGCCTTGACACAAGGCTGTGTTGGGTCAGTCTTGACACAAGGCTGTGTTGGGTCAGCCTTGACACAAGGCTGTGTTGGGTCAGCCTTGACACAAGGCGGTGTTGGATCAGCCTTGACACAAGGCGGTGTTGGATCAGCCTTGACACAAGGCGGTGTTGGATCAGCCTTGACACAAGGCAGTGTTGAGTCAGCCTTGACACAAGGCGGTGTTGGATCAGCCTTGACACAAGGCGGTGTTGGATCAGCCTTGACACAAGGCGGTGTTGGATCAGCCTTGACACAAGGCGGTGTTGGATCAGCCTTGACACAAGGCGGTGTTGGATCAGCCTTGACACAAGGCGGTGTTGGATCAGCCTTGACACAAGGCGGTGTTGGATCAGCCTTGACACAAGGCGGTGTTGGGTCAGCCTTGACACAAGGCGGTGTTGGGTCAGCCTTGACACAAGGCGGTGTTGGATCAGCCTTGACACAAGGCAGTGTTGGATCAGCCTTGACAGAGGCCAAACTGACCAACCACGACAAAGGTGAATGCGTGTGTGTGTGCGCACGCGTGTGTGCTCGTGCGTGTCTCTCAGCAGGACGACAGCGGCACAAAAGGTCTGGCCGGCAGTAATTAACTCCGACAAAGGGAAACAGCCATGGAAACAAACGGTTCTGTTGCTCCACCACACAAACACCGATTATGGCTCTCCCGGGGGGGGGGGGCGATGGAAGAGAACCGGGAAGTTGGTTGGTGGCACGAGGGAAGGTGGTGGAAGAGAGGAGAGAAGGTGGTGGAAGAGGGGAGGGAAGGTGGTGGAAAGGGGGAGGGAAGGTGGTGGAAGGGGGGAGGGAAGGTGGTGGAAGGGGGGAGGGAAGGTGGTGGAAGAGGAGAGGGAAGGTGGTGGAAGAGAGGAGGGAAGGTGGTGGAAGAGGAGAGGGAAGGTGGTGGAAGGGGGGAGGGAAGGTGGTGGAAGGGGGGAGGGAAGGTGGTGGAAGGGGAGAGGGAAGGTGGTGGAAGGGGGGAGGGAAGGTGGTGGAAGGGGGGAGGGAAGGTGGTGGAAGGGGGGAGGGGAAGGTGGTGGAAGAGAGGAGGGAAGGTGGTGGAAGAGAGGAGGGAAGGTGGTGGAAGAGGAGAGGGAAGGTGGTGGAAGGGTGGAGGGAAGGTGGTGGAAGGGGGGAGGGAAGGTGGTGGAAGGGGGAGGGAAGGTGGTGGAAGGGGGGAGGGAAGGTGGTGGAAGGGGGGAGGGAAGGTGGTGGAAGGGGGGAGGGAAGGTGGTGGAAGGGGGGAGGGAAGGTGGTGGAAGGGGGGAGGGAAGGTGGTGGAAGGGGGGAGAAGGGGGGGGAAGGGGGGAGGGAAGGTGGTGGAAGGGGGGAGGGAAGGAGGCGGAAGGGGGGAGGAAGGTGGTGGAAGGGGGGAGGGAAGGTGGTGGAAGGGGGGAGGGAAGGTGGTGGAAGAGAGGAGGGAAGGTGGTGGAAGAGGAGAGGGAAGGTGGTGGAAGGGGGGGAGGGAAGGTGGTGGAAGGGGGGAGGGAAGGTGGTGGAAGGAGGGGGAGGGAAGGTGGTGGAAGGGGGGAGGGAAGGTGGTGGAAGGGGGGAGGGAAGGTGATGGAAGAGAGGAGGAGGAGGAGGAGGGAAGGTGATGGAAGAGAGGAGGAGGAGGAGGAGGGAAGGTGGTGGAAGAGAGGAGGAGGAGGGAAGGTGGTGGAAGAGAGGAGGAGGAGGAGGGAAGGTGGTGGAAGAGAACAGAGGGAAGGAGGTGGAAGAGAGGAGGGGAGATAATTGCATATGGTGCCTATTCAATCCATGAGTTCTTTGTCGTATTTGCTCTTGAAGACGCTGAAGCTGGCTGGTCCTGCTCCTCCACCACACCACACACCGGAGCACAAGTTCCTTACGTCTCTTGACTCGTTTGCATTTGCAACTGCTCCAATTCTCTAATTTCCCACTATTTTGTATGTTGTGATCATATCTCCTCAGCTCTTTCATTTACAGTTGTTGGGTTGAGTTCCTTCAGTCTTTGTAGCTTAGGTCTCTTATATCGGGTACTAACCTTTTTTAAAAACGTTTGGAAATTTGTAATTGTTCTTCACGATTGAGACAGGAATTTCATGCTGGGTATTGTGTTCATTTGGCAGTCGCTATCTTGGTCCTTAAATGTTATATTGTTTGCCAACCACCATAGGCTGGTAAATTTATTCTTTTCATGTGTGCTATTGTTTGTGTTGATATTTGTATACTCCCAAAACGTGTGTTCGTATCGTGTGCATGAGTGTACGAGTATGAATAGTATATGTATAAACGTATGAGTCGTATGTTCACGACTCGTGATAATTGCTGTATTTGGTTTCCTTTAATTATATAGTATAGTGTTTTTCCGTCTTCCGATTTTCATTACCATACACTTGCTAAGTTGATCTCTAGTAGCCACTAGTATGCAGTCTTCTGTAAAAGCAATTTATATATGGTTAATGGAGAAAAGAAGTCTGGCAAATTGTTGCTGGTAAATCTTGTTCTCAATACGTGTACATAGATCAGATTTCTATAATATAAATAAAACACAATTATTTGTCACTGAGTAAATATAAATCTGTTTCTGAAATTAATTTAATTACGCTTTATCTCTCTGCTTGTTTGAGGTCGAGCAAGCTTGCACATGGAGCACCTTATAGGCTTCGTACATTCATTAGAAATACATTTCAATCTTATTTTGAAAAGTTATGTAGTTTTGAAATCCATTTTCAAACATATGGTGTGAACAGTTGCCAAGATAAAGTTCCTGTATAATGAACAAATCCACAAGGGCCGTGATGAGGGTTCGAACCTACACATGGGATGTTCTTAGATGCGCCTTAGCCAACTGTGCCATGACATGGTCAAAAGAACTGCAACCTGGTGTTCTTAGATGCGCCTTAGCCAACTGTGCCACGACATGGTCAAAAGAACTGCAACCTGGTGTTCTTAGATGCGCCTTAGCCAACTGTGCCACGACATGGTCAAAAGAACTGCAACCTGGTGTTCTTAGATGCGCCTTAGCCAACTGTGCCACGACATGGTCAAAAGAACTGCAACCTGGTGTTCTTAGATGCGCCTTAGCCAACTGTGCCACGACATGGTCAAAAGAACTGCAACCTGGTGTTCTTAGATGCGCCTTAGCCAACTGTGCCACGACATGGTCAAAAGAACTGCAACCTGGTGTTCTTAGATGCGCCTTAGCCAACTGTGCCACGACATGGTCAAAAGAACTGCAACCTGGATGTTGTTGAAGATTCGCTACCTGGAACAAAGTTCCAAGTAGCACGGGCTATGGTGAGCCCGTAAAGCTACCTGGAGTGCTACTGCCTTCACGAGCATTCCGAACCTAATTGCTCTTGTGGATTTGTTCATTTGATATATCAAACTATTGTGATTTCTGAGTACGTTGTTTGAATATTTATTCTGGATGACTTAAGAAATGCTTGGACACACTGCACATGGACACTTGTATCATGAGTCACATGTGTCACACAAGCATGCCAGAGTTGTCTAGATGCTTAATCGGTAGCTTCAAGTCAGGTGTATGTGGCCAATATTTTTCCACTACTCTCACGCTAAAAGAAAACTTTTTTAACATCTCTATGATTCATCTGAGTTTCCAGCTTCCACCCATGTCCCCTCGTTCTGTTGGTATTCAATGTGAACATTTCGTCTATTTCCACTCTGCCAATCCCCCCTAACTATTTTATGTTCCTATCATATCTCCCCTCTCCCACCTTTTTTCTAGTGTCGTCAGATTCAGTTCCTTCAGTCACTCTTCATACCCCATCCCTCGCAATTCTGGGACGAGCCTCGTCGCAAATTTCTGAACCTTTTCCGGTTTCCTTATGTGTTTTTCAGGTTGGATCTCCATGAATTTACGGCATGGTGTGTGTGTGTACTCACCTAATTGTGCTTGTGGGGGTTGAGCTCTGGTTCTTTGGTCCCGCCTCTCAACCGTCAATCAACAGGTGTACAGGTTCCTGAGCCTATTGGGCTCTATCATATCTACACTTGAAACTGTGTATGGAGTCAGCCTCCACCACATCTCTTCCTAATGCATTCCATTTGTCAACCACTCTGACACTAAAAAAGTTCTTTCTAATATCTCTGTGACTCATTTGGGCACTCAGTTTCCACCTGTGTCCCCTTGTGTGTGTGCCCCTTGTGTTAAATAACCTGGCTTTATCTACCCTGTGTGTGTATGCGTATGCTTGCGTGTATGCGTATGCTTGCGTGTATGCGTATGCTTGCGAGTGTGTGTGTGTGTGTGTGTGTACATGCGTATGCGCGTGCCCGTATCTATTAGCTGGCGCAAACTTTATTAATTTATATATACAAGAGTTCTGGTACAGCCACTAGCACGGAACGCGTTTCGGGCAGGTCCTTAATCTTAATTTTCCCTGGAATACGACATGCCAAATCGTTTAACCACCAGGTACCCATTTACTGCTTGGTGAACAGAGGGGTACCGTTAAGTATTGGCGCCTAGTCGATCCTCTTAATCAGGATACGAACCCAGGCTAAATCACGCGCGAAGTGTGGGGGCGAGTGTGTTACCACTGTACTTCAATATTAATATTGACGTACTTGATTCTGTCAGTCACTGTTCTAGTGATAATTGCTAATGAGCTAAATTCCTAACCAGGTGGGAGGGGAGGGAATTATCAAGGGGAACCACCCAAGCCATTACGACTCTATAGCACTGGAAAGGGGTCAGGATAAGGATTTGGGATGGGACAGAGGGAAAGGAATGGTGCCCAATTACTTTGACGGTCGGGGATTGAACGCCAACCTGCATGAAGCGAAACCATCGCTCTATCGTCTAGCCCAAGTGGTAGGAGGTTTATGCACTTGTAACATAGAGCAACTTTAAGAAGTAGAGCCTCTAATATCCTTGTGTGTGTGAATAAATGATAACTCAAAACACCTGTATTCTTCCAATACATGACTCTCAACAACTCTTGTCAAAACTAATCGATACCTTTCACTTTTTTCAGGTATGTCACGTACTTAATCCCAGCCCAGTGGCAGACCGTTATGGGGCAGAAGCGGTGCGGGAAGGTAGGCTAACGTCTCGCCTCTTGTTTACCACTTGGGTAAACTAAAGTACTGGTTCCTGAGCCTACTGGGCTCTATTATATCTACACTTGAAGCTGTGTATGGAGTCAGCCTGTGTGTGTGTGTTGGCCTTTGTTCCCACACACACCTCAGCCTCCAGAGTCCAGGACCACATTAACTGTTCAACTAGGTAGGTACCCAAATCATACCTGGGACCTGGCCCCTGGCACAGAAGGCAACTAGGTCTGACCAGCAGCCAATGTAAGGACATGGCCACACCTCTTGGGCATGGCCCTAAGGCACTTTCTGTCTAGGGTGTGGCCTTTAATGATAAGCCAGCCCGTTCTCCTAAGGTTTCCCAACGTCTAGTAACTGTCGTAGTAAAGTGCCCTTATTGTAACCTACCAGAGGACTCGAAACAGACAACGGGACAGTATGTCAACTTCACGA